TCACTGAGCCTGGAGCTCACTGGTTTGGCTAGGCTGGCTAAACTCCACATGGGCCAGTGTGGAGGCTAGAGGACATCTTACAAGATTCCTCTCTTTCTAGCACATGGGTCTTGGAGATAAATCTCGGGTCATCAGATTTGGCAGTAAGCACCTGCTAAGGCAGCTTGCCTGCCCCCCCTTTAACATTCTTTATTTTTTAAGATGTGTGTGGTAGTTTGAGTGAGAATAGCCCCCACAGGCCCGTACACTTTATACTTGGTTCTGCAATTCCTGGAACTGTTTGGGAAGGTGAGAAGGTGTGGCCTTGTTGGAGGAGGTAAGTCACTGTGGGTGGGCTTTGAGGTTTAAAAAGCCCACACCTTCCCAGTTAGCGCTCGCTCTCTGTGTCTCTCTGTCTCTGCCTTGTGCCTAAGGACTGTATGTAAATTCTCAGTTACTGCTCCAACGTCATGCCGGCCTGCCTGCCTCTGGCCCCCCCACCATAACGGTCATGGACTCACCCTCTGAAACTCTAAGAAGACCAACCAATTAAATGCTTTCTTTCATAAGTTGCCTTGGTCACGGCGTCTCATTGCAGCAATAGGAAAGGAACTAAGACAATGTATTTTATTACCATTATGTTGTTCTAGAATTTCAATACTTGTTACAAATTACTATATTTTCCTGGTGACATTACCAATAACTCTAGCTTTTTTTTTTTTTTTGGAGACAAGGTCTTGTGGATCCCAGGCTAGCCTCCAACTGGCCATGTAGCCTAGGCTAGCCTTGAACTTTTCCTTTCTCTACCTCCTAAGTGAGTCACAAGCCCTTTGTGGGTCGAACAACCCTTTCACAGGGGACCCCTAAGACCATTGGGAAACACAGATATTCACATTACTATTCATATCAGTGGCAAAACTGTACACAAGGGCCACAGCATTAGGAAGGCTGAGGTCTACCGCCCTAAGTGCTCTGTGCCCAGTGGTATGTTTGTTTGCTTGTTTTGGTTCTGATGAGGATGCGCACTATCCTAAGCTGGCCTTGAACTGGCCACTCAATGGGATCCAACTTGCAGCCAGCAATCCTCCTGCCTCTGCCTCCAACGCTGATGTCCGATTAGGACATCCAGTGGTCCCACCTCTCCTTTCTGATGTTACTTCTCTGTTCTGTGTTTTGAAAGGGGAGTCTCACAAAATCCAAAATGGCCCCGGACCTTCATAAGCTGCCCATGCTGGCCCTGAACTGCTCATCTTCTAGCCTCTTCTTCCTGAGCCCTGAGGTTACAGGTAGGAGGCACCACACCCACGGTTTGTGGTCCTAACGATCGGACCCGGGCCCTCGCGCCTACCAGGCTAGCACCCGGCTGAGTTCTACCCCACAACCCAGCCCAAGCTCCCTTAACTCTCTCTACTCTCCCTCACTCGGAGGAGGCTCGCTTCTACTCTCTACTGTTCTTTCTTAGTTCCCATCCACGCACACACCTGTCATTCAGCTTACCTGCTCCTTTCCAAGGGAGAAGGGAGGGGTTTGGAGGTCAGCAGAAGCAGAATGCCTCTTCCCACCTCCATGTGTCGGGCACCTCGGCCCAGAGGAGCAGAGGCGAAGGGAGAGGGTGGCTGAGGACTACGGATGCTTCCCGATGACTCGGGAACCGATGCATCTGAACTCCGAACTTTCCTCGGGTAATACGTTACACCTCACTCAAGGGAAGGTGCTGCAGGAGGGAACGGAACGGGCACACAGCCCCAACTACCTTCTTCTTGGCAGTCATTTGTTTCTTCTAAGAAGGAAAAAGACAGTAGAGGAGGAGAGGGGGGAGAGGAAGAAGGGGGGCAGGGGGAAGGGAAGGAAAAAAAAGGAAAATTAGGGACTGCATGGGGATCCAGTTGCAAATGGTGCTTCTGGGCCCGTTGGGTAAAAGGGGACCTCCCTTGGCCTCCTTGGTGTCCCTGGACTCTGGCACTGTACTACCAGGCTGCACACACGCCATCCCTGTGCACGAAGCGCCCTTTTCCCAGATACACATGCATGCACACAAATGCACACGACGTGCACATGCATGTGGGTCCCCCCTGTCC